CATATCTAATGCTTAAGTTTCAAGGCTACCTCTATTTGAGAGCTGTTTTGGGGAGATAACCTTGTAACACATACATTTTAATGAGTACATTACTTTTACCACCTGCTGAAGTAGACTCGGAGTGACTACTGACCTGAAGTGAATGCCTGTGTTCAATATTAATATGGCATGTCTGGATCCAGACAGCAATCTTTCATTTTGACATGCACATAGTCAAAGTAAATTAATGTTTAAAACCTGAACACTTTAAGTTCAGCTAGTGTGTGCATTCCATAATAATCCTTCAGAAGCAGTTTACATAGAAATGCTGAGTGCTTTCTTATACTTTATTTATTATATGTAAGGGTCCACATTGCAGTATTTGTAGCAAGATTTATCCAGTACTAGTTTTGTGACTCACTTGTCTTGCGGTGGCTAAAGAAATTATTTTAGGATTTAGTCTTTCCATGTTTTAAATAAAATTACGCTGTTTTTATATATTCATGCCTGGCAAAATAATAGCCTACTTTCAGTTATATTATTTTTAGATTTTTTTCTTAAGCTAATTCCTTACTTTATTCCTGCTCAAATAATCACAAATATTTGAAAGTATGGTCGTAATTTTTAATAAACTAGGCTTGGAAATAGTATGTATTTGTGACTGACTATCTGTGTAACAAGAATATTGCTGGAGCATTTTTCTTTTCTTCCTTACATACCATTTTCTAAACTGGCCTTTATTGGTTAAAAAGACATTGATGGCAGATGTGGTAATGGGGAAATTATATTAACATTTAAGTATTGAATTAGCTTGTAGCCAGAGTCTCCTACTAATATGATGACATTTAGTAAGTTCAGGATTTTAAGGACCGTGTTGCACAAGTCATTGTTACACATTTCCTGTTTGCTTTTTAAAAAAAGTATGTTAGATCTGCTTTTCCAGATTGAAAAATTCCATTGTGGATTTTAATGTAGTTACTGTTTTACCTTGCTTGTTAGTGTCTGTTATTTATGTATTAAGAATATGGGTATAGTGACCATAATGAGAATAGTATGTGATTGGCGCCGTATGAAAACAAGACAGTTTTCATAACACTTTTACAGTTTAATTTCAAAGAAAAATCTCAAGTTACATTTATTAGCAAACATATTTCAGCTCTAGGGAGTTTTTCATTCTCCAAAAAGATGGCAGATGGAAGTGAACCTAATATGTATTTAAAGAAAATATGCTGCATTTATTTTAAATTATCTCTCTTACATCAGCATGATGCTTTTATATTTTGTCTTAGTTATAATGAATGCCATACTTTTGTTATAAAAATCAAAATTAGATTTTTCGATGAATGACAGAATTTATTTTCTGTTCAGAAATAAATATGATATTTGCTTTAGAATATAGACCATCAAATAACAACTGTTAGATTATACTTAATACATTTATAGTTTTCTGAATCTTGGATATCCATCATATCAGAAAAATGTGTGCTTTACCCGTGGTACAATGGGTAAAACAATGGGTTTGGAAACACGGTACAGAGAACACCTATTGTTTCCGTTGAATGATGTGTGCCCTGTAGAGATGAACCTTTTGACCCTCTGCTCTTCCAGTAGTAATGGATTTTCACTGATTCGAGCATAGTTTCCTACTCGGTCCTGTTTTCGCGTCTCATGTGTGATGGCTGGCTGGTGAAATTAAGCATCTGTTTTGTGCCTGTGGAAGGCAGTGTAACTCGCTGGCTCATACTGGTTCAAATTTACAATGCTGGCTTGATTAGAAGGCTATCACTATCTGAATTAACTAGTTGTGGATAAATTGCTTATAGCATATGAACATACTCATTTTTGTTCTGCTGCATGGGGCATTTTTGTACTCATGTAAGGTTTCATGAAAGGATATATTAGCTTGGGTTAATTGGAAAATCAGCATTTTAATACCACCTCGCTCTCAGTCAGCGATTTTGTGAGTGATTTCTACAAAAACAGAATATATGAGATTATATGATTGGGCCTATTATTCCTGACCTGATTTTAGTTTGCTTGCTTTTATAATTTTTCCATGAAAAAGCAGTCACGTTACACCTCTAGAAAGATTAAGGAGTTTAGGTGGAATGTGTACACGTGTGAGTTTTTGTGGTGTCTTAGACATCTGTACAAATACACTAGAGAGTAAGTGCATTTTGTTGAAATAATAAGACCTCTCAGAAAGTAAGCAGTACTATGGAGTCCTCAGAGGTCTTGGGCTATTTTGCTGGAAGCTACTCCTATACCTCCAGTGATACAAATACGACAGACAGACATTTTCTTTGGTGAAAAGTAGTTCACAGCAGACTGTGATATACATTTCTTTTAGCTTTTTGGACTTATTTCAGGGGACTGGTTACTGAGACCATGATGTGTGTATGATTACATATAATCAAGGTTAATTTTTATCAAGGGTCACCATGTTTTTGCTATGGTCTGACAGTCATGACCTACATTAACAAGAGCCCTGTGGGTCTGTCTGGTGTATTTTTGCTTGATGTCTGGATAGCTCGTTTCAGATGCTTGTCAGTTTCATTATATATTATCCTTTGGGGCTCTCGCTGGATTTCCAGGTATACCATAAAATCAGAGCTCTTTGCAATCAGATTGTCATGAGGGAGCTTCTGTTTCATGGTGTGAAAACACTCTTTCATCTTGAAGGATGAGTAATTTTGGGGACATATTCCATTTTGTTTTGTGTTATATTCAACTGGTAGCTTATTTTGAAGTAGAGTCGACTTTAGCCCTACAAACAAGATTCCAGATTTGGTTCAGTTAATTCATTCTTCAATGAGTTCTTCTTGGGGAAAATATTTCGGAATTTTCAATTCAAATGCATTTTCCTTGGTTATGAAAAATCCAGATGAGTACTTTATTTCACAACATAGCAAGTAAGTAGGATTTATAAGAGAAATTTACAAATATTTCCTTCTTTTGCTTGTACAAAAGGGACGGTGAGTAGTGCTTTTAAAAATGTGATTTAGGACATTTGGTAACTCAAAGACAAAACTTAGTGGCAGTTAAAAATGGGTATTTGGTTTTGGAGTTTTGAAATCATATTTAATTTTGGCCGTATCTATCTTAGTAGTTTAAAGGATAAACAGTTCAAACAGTAAGAAAAAAGCAGTTTGTGTTTTGTCAGTTTTCAACTTTAGATATCAGCAAATCATTGCTGTAGCCTTCTTTATCTTTTGTTTGCACAAAAAACCTGTTAGAATTATGTCTGGGGGGACCATCTGCTGTGGTTCCCAGTCTTGTCAGTGTGATAAGGGATAAGCTGTATAAACAGGGGCAACAACAAAAAAAAAAAAAAAAGAAGAAGAAAAAAGCAGGCTGCTTTTAGGAAGAGAAAAGTATCATGTGGATTTAATTTTATGAGGTAGCCACAGAGAGGCACAGGATTTTGCTCAGAGTCTGTCAGGATTGAGGCTGTGATGTATTTACTTAGAAACCACAGGTCCATGTTGTTTGAATGGTTTATCTTCACATTAATATTATATCTTCCTTTTTTATTACATGGCTCCTAATTTGGAGGACAGGCTTTTAAAAGCTCTTCGAAAAGGTTTCAGTATAGCATTTGACATTGCACTATTTTCCAGATTGTCTGTTTAGTTTTTGGATTTTTTTTTTCCCCTAGCTGTTAATTGTTCTTTGAGTTGAATCCTCAGAAGTCATCCTTTTCCTTTTTCATTTGCAGTGAGGTCATGGTGCTTCCTAAGGAATGAGCCAGTCATTTCCATGGCAACACACTCTATCAAAACATCACAAATCTGTCTTGCCCCTTACCTTTACACTTCCAAGTGCAGGAAGGAGGTGTGTAAGCAGTGGCATTGTTCTTACTGCATATTGGATTATAGTAGGATTGGAGGAGGGGGAGGAAATTCAATTAAAATATTAACCTCAAAAGCACCTTAAATTCACTTAGCCTTGTGTGTGTGTGTGTGTGTGTGTGTGTGTGTGTGTGTGTGTGTGTATGATTTATTTTATATTGAATTAAACAATTTTTTTAGCATGGAAAAATGAAAATTCCAAAAAAATTGATTTGAAAACCGATCATTTAATATGTATGAGAACAGTACAAGAATAAAAAGAATAATAACTAACCTATATTATACATGTGAACATAAAACCCGTCACTCCAGTCATGAGAAGGCTGCCTTTGCTTAAAGGCTCTAGCACATTCTCATCAGTTATTTTGGCTTAAGGCAGTATTATTTCAGCATGATAGTAGTACCTTGAACTTTTAAACGAGTTCCAGAATATTGTCATTTTTTTTTCCCCTATTGTGAGGTGCTAGTGAGATGATGTGATTGCTTTTTTATGGAGTGGGAGACTAATCAGTGTTTCATCATTACCGAAAATTTCATACCCATTGATACCAGGTATTATGGAGCACATTAAATTTAATTTTTAATAATTAAAAAATGTTTTCTGCAACAACTCTGTATAGTGGCTGGTGGTTACTGGACTAACCTGGGGATCACTGCATAAATTATATAAATGTCTGACCACTTACCTACTGTGCTATACATCTGAAACTAATATAAAATAATAGTGAATGTCAAACTGTAACTGAAAAAATAAAAAAGTATTAACAAGATAGATTTGATTTTTCCCCCCTATGTGTTTTGTAACATTTCTGGAGTTTATTGGTATGAGCTGTGAAGATGTAACCGTTTCCCAGTGTTCCCTGTGGCGGTGCATCCGTGCTGGTCCTTCCTGCAGCCTCTGCTGTACTCCAGACCTCGGCTCACCTGCCTGACTCCTCCCACTTGACGGCAGGCCCCTGGAGGCAGGTGCTTGCTTTTCTCCGTATGTAGGTGGCATGGAGGAGCAAGTGTTCATTCAATTTGAGAGAGTAGTGATCGGAATGAATGGAGTTAGTTGTGATCAACTTTTTTTCTACGGCAAAGGTAAATATTCTGATTTTTCGCCTGTATGTATAAAATGAAGTGGGCGTGTGTTCTACATACCTATTTCGTACCTTTTTCATTTTGCAGTGCGTTTGGTGTCTTGCACCGACCCCGTGGTGCCGGTCCAGGCCTCCCAGGCAGCCCTCACAAGAGACCCCGCCCCGAGCCTGCCTCTTTCCCCCAGTACCTTCGTTTCTGAGGAGCCCTCTATGGTGGGAGAAGGAGCTGCTGGTGGTGAAGGTTTTCAGTCTACTGGCACGACTTGGTGGATTGCATTAAAATGCTTTATTATGATGTATTTGACAGAGAAAAGGACTAAAAGAATAAGATAGGGAAGAGCTTCCTTGCCCCCTATATCTAGCTTTAGAAATAAAACATTCCTGATACAGCCGAAGCTCCCTTATGTGTGGAATGGGGGTTAGGTGGGAGTATGCTTTCATTCTCCCTTTCTGCTGGTTTACTCCTCAAAAGCTTCAGCCTTCAAAGGAAATCTCCCTCTGCTTTCATAGTCCTACCCCAGGTCTGTGTGTAGATTGAATCTGCCAGTGTGTTATAACCATCTGTTCCCATGTCTGTCACCTCTCCCAGGCTGTGCTTCATCTTTGTGTTTCCGGCACCATACACAATGGCCGGGGTGGAATAGGTGCTCAGTAAGTGCTTGTTGCATGAAGGAGTGAATAGGTGCAGTTCTTTTCTCACAAACACCATTTTAATGGAGGATTCTGTTTAGCAAAACTATTTCCTTGTCTAGTCCATAGCTCTAAGAGCCTTGCTGCTCTGATTTGAACAAATTGAATTAAACATAAAATCCTGTAGAACAGATGCGTTTACAAGTCTCTGCTCACACAGCTGCTGGTCTAGTTAATAAAAACATTTCTGTTTTGATGGAGTATTCATAGTCTTTCTTTTTGTTAACTCTATTAGTATTGTGGTCTAAGCACAGACTACAAACTCTCTGAGATGAGTGGAAGAGTTAGCCAATGATCAGAACTAAAAGAGACAAAAGGAGATGGATAAGATGGGTGTAAATAGGATGCATAGGGAAAAGGTTTTATTCTTAGGTGTAGCTGTAATAAAAAGAATAAATACATATATTGGTCCTCCCTGGACCGTAACTCATAAGTCTTTGAACCCATATTTCTCAGGTAATTATTCTGATCGTCACTCTCCTAAATCACCTATGTATAACATTCCTACTCTAAATTACAAAGAGTCTATACAGATGCATTTACTTTTTAAAAATTTTAAATATTCAGGTACGATTTATATATATCCAATAAAATATACAGATATTAACTGTTTAGTTCAATGATTTTTTTTCCATTTTATACATTCATGTACCACCACCTAAAGAAGATAGAGAATATTTCCACCCCCCCCCCAAAAAATTTTTTTGTTGTTGTACCTTTTCCCAGTAAATCCTCCCTTCTTTCTCCCCTCGGTGGCAGCCACTCTCTAGTTCTGTTTACACTTATTCACGAGAGTCCTATAAGCTGAATCATATAGTATGTCCCCTTTTGTGTCTGGCTTCTTTCATTCAAAATAATGTTTTTTGAAATTCATCCAGGTTGTTGCATGTATAAATTCCCCATTTTCTTCTAACAAAACTGTGTGCACTAGCAACCAAATTTAAATTTATTTTTACTTTATAGCTGAAAGATTGAGTAATGCTTCTTTAGGTGTATTAATAGAATTAATGACAACAACTCACATTTGTGGAGTGCTAGCCCCTATGCTAAGTGCTTTTCATGCATTATCGTACTGTGTTCTGTGATGCTCTGTTTCAGTTAGTTCTCTGTGGCAGACATATTGGGTGAAAGTCTTGACATCTGATGAAGGACTTGATGTTTGCCAAAAGAAATTATCTTGTGTTCTGAAATTCTGATTGTTTTCCTCTGGACTAAGCAATGTTTATTGTTGGTTTTGATAAGTAAACTACGAACCAAGAGGGAAATTATAAGAGGGCAGTGGGACAGTGGCATTGGGTAGGAAGGAAAGTGCAGTGGCTCAGTTTGGAGTCCCCTTACTTCTGTGGTGATGGAAGGAGATTTGACTTTGGCTGGTGAACACAATGCAGTCTACAGATGATGTATTATAGAATTGTACACGTAAAACTTATCTAATTTTATTAACCAATGTCACTCCAAAAAATTTAATTAAAAAAAAATGATGCCTCTTATACTGGCTGCAAAGAAATAGCCTTTATATATATGAAAAGTTGTTGCGTTAAGCCTTTCAAAGATGCTTATAGTAATGCATACCCATCTTTCTGTTTTGAATTGTATCAGTCTGGCTTTGCGTTTTTATGTGTAGATTTTGTTTTGCTTGCACTTAAATAATATCTACTAAGTGCCAGACACTGTCCTAACTGCTTCCCATACATTGCTTCTCACAACTCTGCAAAGTGTGAGTGTTTTATTTTGAACCTTTGTTTTGCTCAAGAAGGTGCTGAGGCGCTGAGAGGCTGAAGGACGGGCCACAGTCCCAGGGAGTAAGGATGACGCTGGGCTCGGTACCCAGGCAGGCTGGTCTCAGAGCCCATGCTCTTAACTACTGCACTGTTTGCCACAGTCCCCTTTCCCTAACCACACTCGGTACTTTTTCTCGATCCTGGTGGTGATGATGGGTGAGTATTAGGAGGGTTAGTAAGGACTGACAATATCCAAACAGATGTAGTGATTGGAACTTAGTTTCATGACTTGTATCATACATGAAGTAGGTCTTGAAATTGCAGGGTTTTGTGTGTAGTGTGTGTATGTGTGTGTGTGTGTGTGTGTGTGTGTGTTTGGGGGGGGGAGTATGTTTAGGAAGGAACTATTTATAATTTGAAATCTGTGGCAGTAATTGAGTGAGTACTTGAAGCCTCAACAAAGCTAATCATGCAACCAGTGTTGTATTCAAGCCTGTATGTTAGATGGTTCTCCACTAGTTGTCTGTAGACCCTGGGGGTGAGAGACTCACCACATTTATTGCAGGGAAGGTCTCTGAATGTACTCATATGTATGTATTTTCTTAGTCATTGGCAGTTGAACATATTATATCACCATGGGGGTCGTTGTACTCAGCAAGATTGGACACACCTGCACTAGGTTCTTGACTTTGAGAATTTAGCATTTGGGGTTTCAATTATTTTTGAGCACCCAGAAAGTCCATGACATCTAGTAGTTTGTTATGAGAATAATATCATTTTCATAGAGTTGTGGGGTTGTGAGAATGAAGTAAAAATAACATATATAGGAATTAGTTTCAGAAGGCTGGAGTACAGATTCTAGTCATTTGGTGAGCGAGTGAACCTAGCAGAGCTTCCCACAAGCCTATTTCACTTTGGATTTTCATGGATTTGGGAAGGTCTCAGAATGCATTCGTTTACCGTTCAAAGGGGCCACTGGTGTTTCACTCCTCTCCATGGGCCTGCGAGTCTCTTCCCGGGACTCAGTCCTTCAGAGTTTCTTCTGCCCCTTTGTCCTTTTTACTTCTGTTCAATCTTTAAAGATGAAGTTCCTTTATTTTTTATTCTCTAACTCCCCTCTCGCAGGATAACATAGGCTGTTTATGTTTGTCACCTTTCTTAGCTACGGGTTAAAGCATTCTGGGTAGTATTTTGTCTTTTTATCGCTGGGCCATAGCCCTGGTGTCTCTCCCAACTCACAGTTAGGTCACTTTTTCATTGACACTTTTTCTACCTTTACTTTTTCATCTTAAAATGCATTATTAATTTTCCCAAGAGAAGCCCAGATGTTTTTGCAGCTCGGCCTCTAGAGCCTCAGTCACCTCTTGATGCAGTAGATATCTCGCTGCTTACTAACTTGGAACATTGTATTTTGTAAAAACTTTGAATACACACCTGTTATAATATTATTATAATACATACCTATTGAAGTCAGACTTCCATTTAATTGTACTATACTGTAATTTGAAAAAAATCACACATATTTTCACAAAGATACCATATGCCCTCTCTTTGGTCAGGGTTGCTATAAATACACAATTCTTTAGTAAAGGAGTATTTTTTCCATGTACTACCTCATAAGATATACTTCCTGAATTTGGTTTAGGTAGAAGCCTTGTAATTCTTTGAATTTCCTAAGGAGTCATTCTCATAAGGCCTGCTCAGCGTGTACTGACTCCGTAAAACAAACTGAGCTACATGTTATGGGGGACAGAGACGAAGCTCTGTCTTTCATCCTTATAAAGCGTTCATTCTTTAAGACTCGAAAGGTGAGAAGCTAATGTGTTGGGCAAACCAAGTATAATTCCTTGTTAGAGTTTAGGTAAATATTTGAAGAAAAATTTTATATACTATACTAAACTCTTAATTTATCACATTAACCTTCACTAACCTTCATTTTTAATGCTGTTCCTCATGAAATGCAGGTATTAAGGAGATCCAAGTAGTGAGAGCCAGTAATGATGGCTGCTTTAGCAGCCCTAAGATGGAGCAGTGGGAGATTTACAGCCAATACGAAGTACCTGTAGTAATCGTTAAAGTACAGTCTCCAGTGTTGCTATTATTTTACTTATCTGTGATTTATAATAAATATCTTGAAATTGCAGGTTTCTCCTTTTGCAATAAAATACATCAGTAAATAATGTCACAACCTTTAACACCCTACTTTTTGGCCTGGAAATTCATGGTAATATTTAAAACGTACTTAGCTTTTACTGTGTGCTAGGCTTTTTTCTGAGCACTGTACATATATTAACTTCATGTTAAGGATTAAGCATCGTTTTCAAAAATGCATGCTAAATCTTTCTGGAAAAATACAACAAAGCTTTTTTGCGGACCCTAGGTTTGCAAAGCCCAGCCACCCCCATCTTTTTAAAACATGTGCATACGGATATATAGATAAATATATTTTGAAAAAGAGATGTATAGAAAATTAATTGCTTTTTGGGGAGGAAGTATTTTCTTCATGTATCTAACCCATAAAATACTCTGTTTTTTCATATGACATTTTACAGAGACATGTTCATATATATGAATTTTAACACGTTGCTTAATTATTCAGCATATCTGTGAGCTATAATGCTATGTGCTGAAGGAACTACTTTAAAAATTGAAAAGATTTGGTTCTTGTCTTTATTTTTTTAGTTATCTCAAATGGCAAATATGGACGATCCCAGCATAAGCGTGATGCCCCTGTTTTCCCAATGAGAAGATTAAATAAAGTGTTTTGATGAACTGTAATATATAAACTTTACTAATGAAGATGAAATTGTCAAATAATCTTATGTTTAGT